AGATATCCTCTTTAACAAAACTTGTAATTTCAAAAATCGATCTCCTTAATTTATAACTAATTGAATCCAGTTTTCCTCCACAACCTAGTAAACAAGCAGGATTTCCGCAGAATCAGCTTTTCTGCAACTCATGAATTTTAAGCGACGTAGTAGCCCAAGCCAATAAAATAGTTGTTTTTTTTCTATCCAGCTCCTCCACCAATATTTCACTTAAAACTAAACGGTTTTTCTCGGTGAATTTCGTAAATTCCCATCGGGTGATGAAAAATGCAATTGGAACGTTAACCGGAGTGAGAATTGCAGGTAACACGGAATTCCGTCGGGCAGATGTTCGATCGAGTACACGTCCAGACCGCAGCACGGCGGCGAAACATATTTTATTGACATACGCCCCGATCGGGCCCCGGTCATTGGACAGCAGACAATTTCCGTTGCCAACTTCGTGTTTAAAACGGGCAATATGCCTGCACAAGTTGAAATTCAATTTTCAAAAAATTCGATGGGATTCCATGCGCTGTACGAGGGGAATGTATGAAGAGCTTACAAAAAAATATGTAGCAGGAAGGGTTTTATTTCAATCTGCAAATCCATTTTTTACTAGGATTACATGGTAATATAGAATTTTACGAATTTTTTAATTTTTGAACTTACAAGAACACCGGTTTCGACTTTTAAATAATAACCATCTTCAGGCTAAGTCTAATTTAGATCGCATTTTGAGCTTATTGCGCTGAAGTAACCGCTATGTTGTGCTCTCTATATTCTTTACAAGAAAAAAAAATGATCATGTTTCTGAACATTCATTTGAGTTTAGCCGTAAATACGCAATTTCCGTATTGCAATATCAATACTGTGATATTGGTTGCATACTTGTAATAATGACATCGAGTACGATAATTAATTAATACACTGTACTTCTCCATTCGTGAAGCACTACGCACTACCAATACATATACCGTCTGCCGACAAGAGACTGCGACAACACAATGAAGATGCCGGGTGAGAGCTTGGCGAAACGACTGCCCCTTTCCAAATAGAACTAGCAGGAAGAACGGATGAAATCTCGGACCGACCACAGCAACGAATATATATTATACAGTATTGGAAAAAAGTAGAGAAAGTTTTAATTTTACATTACTGTGGTAGTGTATATTATATTAAATTTATGTAGTGAATATTTCACAAACCTAGCCTTATTTTATTAGAAATAAAATAAAATTATAAATCTTGGGTTGGAAAAAGATATATTCGATAAGACCAGTCTTAAACATGCCTCATGGTGTAGCTGTTTGTAAAACTGTGAAAGATATCGCAAATTCTCCTTACACAAATGTGTAGTATATACATTTGTATATATTAAAGAATATATATATTATTAAATGAAAGGATGTGTATTATTAAAGAATATCGTGAGACGGAACTTGTAGACTTGAAGAAGTGTGGACGTGCCAGAAAAATTAATGAATGCCTTGATAGAATAATTGTAAGAACAGCTAAAAAATATCAATTTTATTCTTCACCCAAAATTAAGGCTGAGGTGTTACAAGAAACACACAATTTGGAGGTATCAATACGTACAACACGCAATAGATTAATTGAAAATAAACTATTTGCCCGAAGACCAGCGAAAAAACCAGTTGTACGAAAAAAATAAAGCCGCAAGACTACTATTTGCACGCACTCATCAAGAGTAGACATTCAACGAATGGAAAAAGGTATTGTTTAATGATGAATCCTAGTGTAATTTATTTAATAGTGATGGTGTGCAATATTGTGGCGTCGAATAGGAGAAAGGCTGACTTCTAAGTACATGCAGCGAACATTAAAACATGGAGGTGGTTCTGTGATGGTTTGGGGATGTTTCTCTAGTTTTGGTGTAGGCCCTATACACCGTATTATGGGAATAATGGACAGATTTATGTACCGTGATATATTAAGAAATGTTATGAAATCTTATGCCGACGAAAATCTACCTATCTCTTATAAATTTCCACAGGACAAAGATCCGAAACACACATTAATTTGAAAAAATCAATTCGAAATTTGATGACTTGGCCGTCACAGTCACCAGACTTAAATCCTATAGAAAACCTATGGAAAATAGTTGACGATAAAATTCGAAATAACTCTAACATCCGAAATCTAGTCTAACATATCGAAAAAATCATTGACAATTTAATACACTCAATGTCACGAAGGTATCACGGTGACATTAATAATAAAGGAGATTGTATTAAGTACTAAAAAATCTTTGCTTTTTATTCAATTTAACTCTTATTTACCTATAGATTGTTAAGTTGTTCTACTTTTTTCCAACTCAACATTTGCAATTCTATTTAATTTCTATAAAAATAAAGCTATCTTTGTCAAATACATTGCCATAGTAATGTAAAACCTGACGAAAAACATAAATTTAAAATTTAATATAAAAAAATTAAAAGTTGCTCTAATTTTTTCCAATACTATATACAGGGTGAGTTATTAGTATCCTGGCGGACGACAGTTGCTAAACCGTTTGAGAAAGAAAAAACTATTTCCTACAAAACATATTTACGATATATATATTTACGTTTATTTATTATGTTCCATTTAGGCATAATGGAGAGTATATAGATTTTTTTAAATGAAACACCCTGTATATTTTATCATATTATGAATAGAATCAAATTTATTTATACTACTTATGTTTATATTTACTTGAGATATCCAGTTGTTTTTCCAAAATGTGTCCATTGCAGGATCTTTTTAAAAACTATGCAAAAACGACATTCTTTCCAATTGTGCCTTGAAACTATGTGAGATAATAGTCAAAGCCAGTAGATAAATGATAGTATCCAAAGATATTAGATCTTTTATACAGCGCATTAATGCTTGTAGAAGAGAAAATGGGTGGCATTTCGAAAAACTTCTAAATATTAATTAAATTAATAGCTACTTGTTTAGCAACGTTTAATAATTGTTTATAGTTTGTTGCTGCATTTCCTTTAAATAAATTAGTAATTAAAAAAGGTATTTATTGTTTTGCCATTTAATTGTATGTTTTGTATTTTTATCACGTTTTGATTATTTAATTATTAAAATTTTTTCTTAAATTGTATTTTAATATTATATTACTGATTTACAAAAAATGGTGACAAAAAGGACAGAATATATTACATTCTGTCACTTTTTTAAGTACAATAATGACATTTTATTACACATCTTTCTTTAAATTCTAAATATTAGGAAAACTATTAAAGTTAGACATATGACATACTTAATTAATTAAAGGGAACTTGATGAGCAATTCAACTAGCACACAATATATAGGGTGTTTCATTTAAAACACCTAAGAAAAAGCCATTTGAAAAACATCAAAAGTAACTAAACTTTATAAACAGCCTGTATAGTGTATCTAATATCTTTGAATACTATCATCTACGACTGGCTTTGACTATTGTCTGACGTAGTTTCAAGGCAAAATCGGAAAAAAATGTCGTTTTTATGTCGTTTTTATATCGTTTTTAAAAAGATCCTGTAATGGGCACATTTTGGAAGAACAATTGAATATCTATAAACAAATTTAGTTGTATTCATAATATGATAAAATAAACAGGGTGTTAAACTTAAATAAATTGACGTACTCTCCGGTACACTTAACTGGAACATCCTGTAAGTGAAAATAATTGTACAGGGTGTCCAAATTTCGATGGGTTTGCAGAGTATCTCAGTTATTATGAAAGATAGAAAGTTGCGGCTTTCGCGAACCTGAGCTACTTTTTGTGAAACTTACAATGGCGCAAACCAAATTTTCATAGCCCTCTTCGTTTTTGATATACAGGGTGTGTTTCAAAATTTACGATTTTCAGACACCTCCTGTATTTCGGCTATCCGGAAATGTAAAAACGGATTCTAATAGATTTTTTCACGTAGAATCCAATGCTGCACGTAGAATTTTTCTAGTCATCGCGGTTTTTGAGTTATAAAGAGTTAAGTATTTTAGAAGTTGAGTATTTAGTATTTGAGTTGTGTTTATAACTCAAAAACCGTGATGACTAGAAAAATTCTACGTGTACCATTGGATTCCACGTGAAAAGAACTATTAGAACCCGTTTTTACTTTTTTACTAAATTTCCGGATAGCCGAGATACAAGAGGTGTCTGAAAATCGTAAATTTCAAACACTCCCTGTATATCAAAAACGAAAAGGGTTATGAAAATTTGGTTTGCGCCATTATAAGTTTCACAAAAAAGTAAAGTAAAAGTAAAAATCTCAGTATAATAACTGAGATACCCTGCAAACCCATCGAAATTTGGACACCTGTACATAATAGAAAGTGATGAATCAAACAACTTTTATATAGTAGAAACCACGAGAGCTGGCAGTGACAGATCGCTTAAAAATGGTATGAATCAAGATATGGACGTACGACTTAGATTATTTCACCACATACATTTAAATGTAGGTTATGTTAGTAATGGAGGTTATATGTCAAACATTGTCAAAGATATTTAATGATTTTCCTTTCAAAGAAAAAAGCATTTTCGGCTTGTGAAAACACTAACAGATTCATGACAACGCTCACAAGACGTTTCGATTTGAGGTTATAATTATAGAATGACATCCCTTAGAAGAACAGACGTACTTTTTCGACGTGGCCATTTGAATTGTACAGCAGACATATTAAACTAATGCCATCTCTTTCTCTAGCGGTTTGTGAAGTACGTATGGCATTTGTAAGAGCGGAAAATAATGATTTAGCCAGCTCTCGTGGCGTCTACTATATAAAATATCGACCGCCGGGATACTAATAACTCACCCTGTATAATATATATTACAGCCGCGGCCATAAGTATTGCGCACCCAGTTTGACTTGGGAAATATCAAATTAATATACTTTTGCCTTAATCAGGGCCGATATTCGTTTTGGTAAAGAGGACACAAGTTTTTTGCAGTCTTTGGAACTTATAGCGTTCTGTTCTAGGCGCAAGCGATTTTTTAGCTCTTCTTTGAATGAATAGTGTGATGCCTAACTTTAAGCTTCAATAAACCCCATAAATACTCTATGAGGTTTAGGTCCGGAGATTGGGCAGGCCAGTCCAGGAGCTCTATATTGTTTTCTCAAAACCAAGTCATTGTGCGGATAACCTAAGACATTTTTAGGGTGTTCAATATTTTTGGCCAAGACTGTATATAAAATAAATAAGTCTAATAATATCTATCTCCTTATACCTATCTCGTTTTTTACAAGTAAATGTTTCCCATACACGAGCTTCCTGTACAGTTTTTCCTTTCTTCGCTATCATCCTGATTATTGCTTTATTCCACGTGTCTCTCAGTCTTCCCCTCCTGCGTTCTCTGTAGATATCCCCACCAACTTAGCAGCCTCTTTTCGATAAAATCGCTCACGGCCTCGATATTTAAATCTTTCCTTATGTCATATTGTCTCTCTTTACACGTATTACAATAAGTATGTTGTTGTATTATAATAATATAATATCGATAATAAGAAATTAAATTGAAATAAACCAAATAAATTATATATATATAACCAACATTGCGTTTACATCCTCCACAATTTTTAAGATCGGATCGTGTCGGGAGGACAGATGAATCGCAAAACTTCGCAATGGGCTATTTTTAAGGTCGAATGGGAAAAACGCTCGAACATAGCGTAGCCGGTCCCATCCTTTCAGTGCCAAAGTATTCGGCGTGATCAAAAAACCAATACTAGTTAGTATCGTTTCGCTCAATCAACGTAACTCATTTGATTTTTTAATTAAGGTTAACTCGGTTTGAATTAGAAGTGAAATCATCGTTTGAGTCATCTTTAACCCAAACAATAAAGTGATAAGAACGATTTCAGGTTAGTATAGGAGGTATAGAAGCGAAATTGGTTCAGTTTGGTTGGTTTCTACGGTTAGAAAGTTAGTTTGTTGTAAACCAAGCGTGAGTTTGCGCTAATTCTCTCTTATAACCTTGTGTGAAGCATGCGGTGTGATAAAAATAAAAGTGAAGTCAGTCACATTTCAGCTTTTTAAGCGTCATCTTAACATCTTGACCTCAGGTAATAACCTCGATTTTACTAAGCATTGCATAACTCTATATAAAAAATTCATCTCCTTTCTATTTAAATCGTTAAATTATCCTTTAGTACATATTGTATTCATATCTTCCTGTATTTATCTTGGACAAAAAAGTTATTGACTTTAATACTTTGCGGCTTCGCATTACAATAGTAACCACGACAACTGCACAACCCTGACTAAAACGATAACCGTATCTGATCCACGTTCTCTCCAACTATATTGACACACGATTATCTATCCCTAACCAGACACGTGTCCAAAACACCGTATGTATTAATAATAACATGTTTCATATCTAAACGCACACCCATCGATCGTTATCGTTGCAAACATAAAGTTTACGTCAACTTTATTTTGAAGGAATAGGAAGAAAAAGGCTTCAAAATTAATCTTAAACTCGCAAAACGCCGTAAAAGGCGTAACAACAATCATCAAAGTAATAAAAAAAAAGAAATGGACCCAAATTCGGATTCGTACACGACGAAATTTAATCAATTAATAAACAGAAAAGGAAAGATTTTTTCGTACACATTTTGGAGGACCCAAATTAACGGGGATGTCTTTTGGAGTATGCAAGGTCACGATGAAAACGGCGCAACATGGATAGCTACTCAGTATTTCGGCCCAACCGATGAAGCTTATAGATATCAACAAATAGTGATATTAACTCACCCCGTCGAAACGAAAATAAAAATGGTTTATAATTCGACATGCGAAGAAAATCGGAATAAAGTGTTCATATCAAAAACAATAGTGCAAAATTTCCGGAACGATGATAACTCGTTCAACTTTGAGTTTAAATTGATGAGGTTGAAACGAAGATCGAAACAAATTGTTGAAAATATGTATCGTAACGTACACAGTTGTTATTTTCCCATTAAAAATGTTGCTTAATTTATTGTATTAATTTATTAACTTATTATAAAATTAAATTAAAAAAATCAATTCGTTTTTTTTTTTTTGTTAATACACACATAAAATGATCGAAGTAGAAAGTACCAAAGAGGTAGAACTAATTGGACGGGTAATTAGAACGGTAGATTACGAAAAGTTGAAGTTTAATGAAATCCGAACACCGTTAGGAGTTGGCTCTCGAACGTTCCTATCTATTAAAACGATAACAAGAGGGCAAACAATAGTCTCCGTTCAGTCTTGCGCAAGCTGAAAACGTTTCTAATGAAACGTTTTCATTCGTATAATCTTCATTTTCAAACGTAATCGTCTCATGCCACATTAAAACTTAATTAGCTTTTGATAGAATGAAGAGTCTGTTCATTAAATGATGGTTCATTTTGTGATTTATTTTAATGATAGAAAAAAAAAAGGTTAAAAAGCAAGATTATGGAGTCCTTATGAAGTATCCTCGAGATGTTTCTTATCGATTAGAACAATTTTGATACACCAATAACTTTTTTTTCTACTTTTTGACAACTTTGAAACACTTTTAAAAGGCAGTAAAATTCGTTTCTAAGTGTCACAGAGATATTTTAGACCATTTAGAACCATTTTGAACCAAAATCAACAATAAATCCCATTTTTTGAATTTTTTCAAATTTATGGATTACTCTCCATTTAATTATTTTAGCTTATTTTTTCTTTATCAAGTATCCTTAAGATGTTTCTTCCAGATTAGAACCATTTTGACACACACTAGTCAAGTTTTTCTATGTTTTCTATCTATTATTGTTTATTGAAACTAGAACTAACACTGAAGTGAACTAGAAACATTCGGGTTTCGCCATGCGTCTCTAAAGACGACTAAACCCGAATGTTTTTACTTCTAGGTTGAGTTCAATAAAAATATATGACACCATGGCGTTAAATAACAACTTAAAGTTGAACTAACACTAAAACTAGAACTAACACTAGAACTAACACTAGACCTAGAACTAGAATCATTCGGGTTTAGCCGTCTTGAGAGACGTGCGGCTAAATCCGAATGTTTCTAGTTCTAGGTCTAGTGCTAGTTCTAGTTTTGCACTAACACTATCACTAGAACTAACACTAGACCTAGAACTAGAATCATTCGGGTTTAGCCGTCTTGAGAGACGTGCGGCTAA